AGGCACAGTTCATAGGAGGCTTTTATCATTAAAACTGACTTTGTAGCTCCAGGGTCAACAAGAACGCTTAAGGGCATGTTCCCCACTGTCTGGTATGAATGGCTCTTACGGGAAAAATAATGGTGGGAGATGAAAGGGTTATGGAGTCCCTGCGCATCCTTGGTCCTCGGCAGAGTCATCATTAACTGGGGCCATCTGGTGTCTTTGTTGTTTGTCAAGCTAGTTTTTTTTTTTTTAAATAAAGGTTTATTTGTTAATTGTATGTATATGTGCCACATCCTGTATGTCTTGGTCCTGGAAATCTGCCTGGGGTGATGAGGGAATGAACACACATACACACACACACACACACACACACACACACACACAAACGCGCGCGTGCGCGCACACACACACACACACACACACACACACACACACATACACAGTTGTGCCCACTCTGATGGAGCAGCACCAACCATATACTGACCCAGAACCAAGTTTCTTATATATAGCTTGGGAAGGAGTGGTTAGTCTTGGTAGGAGGTCTTTGTTAGATAAGTCTTAGGTTTTAGTCGTCTGGGAAGAGGAAGCTGCCATTGTTACTACTTTTTGCACACACTGGTTTTTCAGTCATAAATGTTTGTACTTAGGCCAGAGGAAGGCTTTTCCATATTCCCCATCTTCAACTGGAGGAAGATTTTGCAAATCCCCATGGATCTGTGCCATTCATTGGTCCCTGTCAATAATACACATTCTCTTAGAGTTTCCTTGGCTCCCCACAAATTTGTGTATGTGTACGTCTGTGTATGTATGTACATGTGAGTGCTGGTGCCCACAGAGGTCAGAGGAGTCAGCTGGAATTACAAGCTCCAACTCCAGTAATAACTGGCCCAAAATGGGTGCTAGGAACCACACGTGGGTCCTTTGCAAGAGCAGCAAGTGCTCTTAACTCTTGAGCTATCTTTCCGGCAGCATCAAGCTGGCTGTTTTCAGAGTTGGGGCCCAATCTTTTCCACACCTCGTTCTCAATACAGACAAGGGCATCCGCCCTGCAGACAGGGTCTGGATTCTGTATTTCCAATCTTGGGTATTTTGGATAAAGATAAAGGGTTGCTCAGTCTTCATTTGAGAAGGATTCATGCCTACAGCCTCAGTTCTCTGTGGTTCTCAATTAATGTCTGGTGAATATTACCCTCAGGACTCTCCTGAAGAAGCAGAAGGCAGTGATGAAGAAGGACCACACTTGGTCAGGACGGCTTATTTATGCTTATCTCTTGTCTCCACCTTACCTGTGCTCCATTTTTTCCTCTACTCAAGCCTAAGGCTCATGTTACTACCCTGAAGATGAACTGAGATGTCACCGGACACCTGTAACAGTCCTGCTTGCCAGTGTGGCCACCTTGAATAACTCTCTACCACTTAATGTTCCCGCAGTCGCTTTAATTGATATATTGGGATGGGTGGCAGAGTTGAGACCATGGGAGGCCATCTTTCACTCTGAAATCCCTAGTAACAGCTAAAACTTGAAAGTAGAATTTAGGGTCAGAATGTTGTTTACCAAGTAAAGAAACGATGACCCTTCCCTGGTCCAACTCTGTAAACCATGCATAAAGTGTAAGAGTGAAGTTGGCTTGCAGTTTTAGTTGTTGATTGAACAGGATATTTGGTCCAGAAATATAGATTAGCAGTCATTTCCTTTACTTAATGCATCCTGTCATAACCAAGAGGCTTAATGTTGAGAGTTTCATGTAAAAACTATCATGAAGTCGATGTGCTTTGAAAATCCCTCTAATTTCTCAATTTAGCCTTCTGTGCTATAAAATGTGGGGAACACATTCTTCCCATCAGTACCAGGGACTTGAAGCCACTGCAAGATTTTATTAGTGAAATCTGCTTTACTTCCTTGAAAGGGGTCGTTAGGTAAATTATGACTGGCCAGCTTGGTTGGGACACAGGATGCTCAGATGGCTGGCTGGCTATTGTTTTTGGGGGTGACTGGAAGGGTGAATGTTGATGACAGCATGAATATCAGTAAGCTGAAAAAGGTCAAGCCATGTGGAGGAAGACTGGATCACCTCCGCCTAGTTACCTAGGCTAGAAATAGATCTGCTCTGGATGCTCTACGGCCAACCAGACTGGACTCTACACCACTTCTGGGCTGCCTCTTAAGGCTTGAATGAATGTATTTTTTCAGAGCTCTTGTGTGCAGTGTATGGGTATATGTAGGTTTGTGTGTGTGTGTGTGTGTGTTTGTGTGTGTGTGTGTGCATGTGCAAGTGCACACACCTGTATTTGTATGTAGGAGTGTAAGTGTGTGGAGGCCAGAAGTAAATACTGGGTGTCTTCCTCAGTAGTTCTCTACATTACTTTTTGAGACAAGATCTCCCACTGAATTTGGAGCGCATCAGTTTTTCTAGACTGGTTGGCCAATGAGCTCCAAGGATCCTTGTGTCTCCGTCTCCTCTAGCACTGGGGTTCCAGATAACATTGCCATCCCTCCCTTTTCTGTGGGTGCCGGAGGTTCAATTCAGGATCTCATGTTTGAATGCCAGGGGCTTCACTGAGTAATTTTCTCACCCTTCCTTCTGTAGCTTTCTATATAAAATTAGAAAAGTAAGTTTATATGTGTAACTATTCTATATATCTCTATGTGGCTCTCTATTAAATATTATGAGTACAGACAACAAAACGAAACAAAACAAACACACATAATTCTCACCTAAAAGAGGGGTAAGAGATAGTTTATCCTCTTACTCCATATCAGCGAACACAGCCTGGGCAAACAGACTGACGTTACTCCAAATTCCATGCTCCATTGTGGTAACAGGACAAGAAAAGTCAGAAATCAAGACACTTTTCAAATTCACCGTTGGTAACATTAAGTAGGTGGTTACAGGAAAGGAGAAATCTCAGCTGTAGGCACTAAATCTTATTCAGTAACTCTTAACCTTTTGTTTGGTGGAAGCCAGGGTTTTGTTAATACATTCCAATTTTTTTTTTATTAGTTAAATCACAGGATGTGAGGTCAGGCCCAGTGGGCAAGGAATTCATATCAGGGGAGCAAGCACAGTTGAAGATAATTGTGTTTAGGCTCGGAATCAGCAGCACTTCAATGTTTTGTGACCAGTGAAGCTTCATTCATTTATCGACCTTGTAGGGATTCAGTGGATGGTGCAGTTTTTTTTTTTTCTGAGAACTCCCTCCCTTCCCATGCTATTTCTCTGGAGAACCCTAAGGTAACAGTAAACAAGATATTTGACAGGAATTTTGCAAGTGAATGCTTCTCCTTATTTATTGGCATTGTCCAGGATTTCTCCTTCTTTAAGAGGTCTAAGTAAGCTGTCGGCGTGTAGCCAATTCCGAATTTAGTAGCTAAGAGATCTTCGTCATTTCTCTTGGCAATCGACAGGGAAACGATAGAGACTCAAAGGTTAAGGTAGTCGTAGGATGAATGGAGAAAAGTGTCAGGAAAGGTTAGCAGTAACTTTCATATACGAGGGAATGAAGGCAGGAATTTGACTCCAACGTTGATGGAGAGCACTGAATATAGAGAGGATTCTCACGTACCAAGATTGGCGAGAACAAACGAAAGGAATCAGTGGCGCTACAAAATGGGGAGAGGCGGCTCTTGGTTGTCAGGTGCGCCACTTCACAAGGTCCTCCGTAGGTGTTTCCCGAGATAGAATTAGTGTTACACTGGATATATTACAGTTCTTCGGAGAAACAGAGATGATATGTAGCACATGCAAACACACATGCACACACACATACGCACACACTATAATATAGTGCATACTATGACTATATACTATATTGGTCACTTTTCTCTTGCTGTGATAAAACCCAAGACCAAAAGCCACTTACAGAAGAAGGAGTTTATTCGGGCTTGCAGAGCCAGAGGGAGAGTCAATGCGGTGGGTGAGGCACGGCGGCCGGCAGCCAGAGCAGGGAGTTGGGAATTCACAGCTCAGAGAACAGGCGGGAAGCAGAGCGCCAACTGGAAACAATCTATGAGCTGTCAAGTCTGGCCCCAGTGATGTGCTTCCTCCAGCAAGTCCTCATCTCCTAAAGGTCTCCTGACCTCCTCAAATGATATCAATGACTGGGGACCAAGTGCTCAGATATATGGAGCCTATGGGAGACATTTCTCATTCAAATCACCACGGTGCACAGTAAAGGATTTACGCGCATGTTTGTATCTGCCACAAAGTCCCTTTATCTGCTGCCTGAACACAGGAGACCGTTGTAACTCATTCTGTTGGTGGAGCCTAAAACCACGGGGAGCATTGGCACAAATCCCAGTCAGATGGAAAATAGGAGATGTTGCCAGGGAGGCAAGAGGAGCTCCCCATGTTTCCTTTTTTTGCATGTCATCCATACTGGGGAGGACAGTCTACTTTCCAAAACTCTCTAACTCACATACTAACCTCTCTCTCCCAGAAAGACCCAGAAATAATAGTTAATCTTGTTTAGCCAACTTCACATAAAATTGACCACACTTTTCCTTTATTGCCAAAGGACAAGTTCACGTTTTGGCGTCACATGACTGAGCAACCCTTGTCTGAAGTGAAAACACTGGACGTCCAAGTCAACACAGAAGTCACTTCCTGAGAATGGTCAGCCACAGAGGCTGTTTCCCCTACAAAAATTCCTGACTGTCGGAGTTAGTTAGCTACAGGGTGTTTTAGAGGTGTGATGCAGTCAGGAAGGATCTGTGAGTTTCTGTTAGTTTAACCCCTAGGAGTTAAAAATATAAAGATTGTTAAGTCACTAAAACTAGAAACAGCAACATTTCAACAACTTATTTAGAAAGATCTCTTAGGGAAGGAGGAATTATAAAAAGTGTCAAAAAAGGAAGAAGATAATTCCCTAGTTAGAATATATTCTAACCAAGTCTTTCAGTACTGTCTCAGTTAGGATTCTCAGAAGACTATAACACACACACACACACACACACACACACACACAAACATATACATATAAATGCACAAACACATACAAATACACACACATACAAATAAACAAACACACACATACAAACACACACACACACAAACACATGTGCATAAAGATGGAGGAAACTATGGTGTTACCATCATTGACAGAATTCAGGTACAGAGTGTAATTTGAAATTAAGGAAACATTGGTATTGCTGGTTGAGTGCCCCTTCATTAATGAGTTGTTTCTTAAGTGCGTGCTTCCAAGCCGCAGGGCTGATATTCTTAAAGCACACTAATGTTGCTATTTTAAACTAGGAATACTCCGATGGGTGGGTTCATTACCAGTTCATTACCAGCTCACTGACTGGTCCTGAAGTGGACGTAACCTGTCATCCTGCCTTAGAAAGAAAAACACGAATCAGCTGTCGTCCAGGTATTAATAATGAAGGGGTGAGGCAGGTTGTAATGTGAGAAAACCTAGTGTCTTGAAGAGAAAGAGATGAAAGCAGAGAACGTTTGTGGGGAATGAGGATCCTGTCTAACTCCTCTCCTCAGTTTATGTTTTCCTTGCAGAGATCATTTTCTAGATATCTGTGAAAGGGACTCGCTCATATCTCTCGAAACGCCACAGAGAGAAGGCCCAGGAGGGTCTTGAAAGAGGCAGCGTTGTTCTATTTGGAGTCAAATAAAATCACAGCAGGCAAAATTGAAACAGAAATTCCTCATTGCCTACTAAGCTCTTCAATTATCTCTCCATTTGAAATCATAATGGTGTGCCTTTGAACCCCGGCAAAACAAGTCCCTGGTCATTATCTAAAATCACCAGGCCCAACACCCTCATTTTCTTATCAGTTTATTGTTATACATATGAGGGATCATGCCACTTTTAGAATTATAGTGAGGGCTTTTTTTTTTATTTAAAAAAAACCCAGAGGAAAAAAAAGTTCCCAATAATTTTCATTCAATGTGAATGACAAGAATATTATAGCTATACACATTGAAATTACCATTTCATTTCTTCCTGAGGAAGCCCCATATCATAAGCAATGAAAAAGGGAATTCTAGTTTCAAACAGCTAGTTTGAAATCATGTTCTCTCTCATTCTTTTCTCACAGATTTCTGTTACTTTTAGGATAGCATAACAGCCAGCTGGAGCTCACAGTGTGAAGTCTGTGTGTGTCCTGTAGAATTTGGAGCTGTCTCTTTGACATGCAGTGTGGTCAAAACCCTTTCAAAGGGTTGCTATTTGGCACTGCATTCAACACGGGCTAGTGAGTGAGCAGGTCTCCGTAACCCCACCCCCTCTTTTTTTTTTTTTTATCTGATTCATTATATGTGGTATTTTTGCCATTTATTTTAAAGGCACTGTCTACCTAGACTAAAGGATGCCAGAAGCCAATTTATCTAGAGGTTCAAACGTGGAGACACATGTCAACGTATTTTCTCACTCCATTCATGAGCTGACATGCTGTCGCCAGTGAGACCGTAACAGCTGGAGCTACCGGGTCTCACAACCCCCTTGAGCCAATTTTCTTCAAATGAATGGACGTGGAAGTGAGGGATGATTGTCCTTCTGGCTTTGGCAGGTGATGCTCCTGAAGCTGCAGCTGTCAGAGGGAAGACTGATCTCACAGCCTTTTGCTTTGGCTTCTCCGTCAGGGTTCTTAAAATTTGGCTGTTTGTCCAATTCTTTCTAGTAACTGCTTAAAAACCCCTGTATTCTTTGAGTACATTAGAACATGGGAAAACCTTAAACAGACAAATTGATAACTGGCCTGTGTATGAGGAAATACACACTGAGAGAAAGTTTGCCCCTTCTGTTTTCTAACGGGCAAATGGCTGGACGAGTGCAGCTTTATGCACTAGAATGATAGCCAAATCTTCAGGCCATTGACTTTCTTGTATATCTTTTTTTTTTCCTCAATATATCTCATAAAATACTTTAAATGAGCTTCTGTAGTCACGGAAGGGGAGGTACTACTTAATATTTACATATATGTCAATTACAATACAAAATTAAGTAAATATTAACACAGGAAAGTATGCTCTACTGTACCCTTGTTTTGACTTCTTGGCTCGTCATATGTCTAATGTAAACTGAGTGTGTTTCAGGAGCCAGGCCTATCTTTGCACTTCTGCCCTTTTTTTTTTGTAGATGCTCATACGTTTGACTACGCCCGCTGTTGGGTAGGGGTGTGGAAGGTACGTGGGACGTTCTCAAACACTGGACTTGACTTGGTCTCCACCTTTTAGTAGTACAAGAAATGTCTCAAATAATTTGTATCTTAATTCATTTCTACATAAACCTGTACATAATATAATTTCCTGTGGGGCCACCTGGAGAAGGCAGCTGTTCAATAGTTTATGTCTGAGTACTTTAGTGAAGCGCCTCAAGAAACTGTCTTTAGTTTTCAGTCAGTGAGGTTTGTTCAGTAGCTTCTCTGCACATCTAAAGGTCCGTCTGTTTCAGATTGGACACTTCCTGCAGAACTGAAGGTGACCAGGATAGACCCGCCACTTAACCGCGGGAAAGGATAGCATGGCCATCTCTCTTTCTCTCAGAGGGTTTAGTCAGCACTCTTCCACTGTTATTCACTATTCTGATGTAAAAATGGTTTCTATTTACTGGCTAACAAGTCTGAAATACACAAACCCATAAGCACACTGGACTGTACACAAGCAGTCACCGCCCTGGCTCCAGCGCCATCTTTCGCTTCTGTTTAGTGGAGACAAAGTCCAGACATAACTTTCCAGTCTCTGGGTCTCACACAGTCATGGCCTATGCTGGGAACCTTTTTTTCCCCCACGCTTTTGGCATTTTACACTGCGACATTTATCATTGTAGAAGATATTTCACAGAATCACATAATTTTTCTTTTTTACAGTCAAACAGAGATCCAGAAATGTACAGAAATACAACTTTAGTTGATAGACAAAATAGTAAATATTAGTGTGAAATGGAACAGGTCAGTGCCAGTGTTTTTGTTTTTGTCTTTGAATTTACACTGGTTGCTGTGGGGCTTCCACACGGCTACACAGTGGAAGGCCATCAACTGCGAAGCTTCTTAAAGATCCTTTATATGCCCCCACCCCCACAATCATCCACATGCCAGCACATGGAAGGAGCCTCGCGCGTTTTTCTTGACGAAGAGGTATGTGTTTGACAGCTTTTTGGTAGCTTCTGTGAGCTCTGGAGAGGCGCATGCCGGTCCACGGACAGATTCCTTTTGCTTTTTGCCTCCACCGCTTTCTGCCCGCTACCTCACCTTCTGCAGCTCCTGTCTCAGCCATGAGGGCAGAGGCTGCCCCAGCCGGTGCAGCAGCTTGGAGAGCTCCACGTTGTGGTCCCGGTAGTAACTGGACAGAAACGCTCTGCTCTGAGTGCGAAGGGGGAGAAACATATATTTTATTCTACTCAAAATACATTCCATGCCTGTTGGCTCTGCAGAAGTAGGTGCCTCAGGTACCCCAAGTACGGGTCAGGAGTGGCATGCAGCATGTGGACTGTGTTGGTAACACGTGTGATGCTTGACTCTCTGTCTGGAATCTGCACTAGGAGAGGCGGCCACTGCCCTGGTGACGTTTGCCACTCCAAACATGCTTGTTTCCACACCTTTCTGCACAACATCAAATACTTTACTCCTTTAGGCAAACTCAGTGTGTGTTTACAAAATACCCTCGTTGGCGTCTACAGTCAATATTCTGAAAAGCTGAGTTTCTCCTGTTAATCTTGACTAGCATCAAATTTGTAGAGTATCTCAGTTTTGTCTATGTTAGACCAGAGTGAAATAAAACACTAAGATACACTTCAGAGCCTTTTAATAATTACACATGGAAGTAGCTTTGATGTGAAAATTAATATATTTAAGGTTTTTTTTTTTTATTGAAACAATGGGGGAAATTACCTTTCAACACGTTTTAGTGCGTTCTGAATGTTTCCACAGTGATCTGATGGTGTATTTTGATAGTCACTCAAACAGAATTAGAGTTCTTACAAAGTAATTGCTTTATGAAAACAATAGATCCCTCTCTCGCTCATGTCTTCTGTATAGACATGAATTGTGACCTGACCAAAGTCCTGTCTATCAGACTGGCACAAAGCATTGTGCCCCAAACCTTTAGAGATAAAAGTTTGTTAAACAAATACAGATTACTGAGAAATTTTGACCACCTCAGGATTGTCAGTTAACATAATGTATTTAATACTGTGAGGAAAATAAAAACCCAATATTTAAATTTCTGAGTTCCAAAAAATTATAGTAATCAAGTTATATTTTTATAGTCAAACTAGATGCTAAATATACTATGAACAAATCTTGGTGTATGCAAAATAAGCGTGAAGGGAAAATACAGGGCCCATGTACAAATATGGGACTGTGAAAATGGCAGCCTTAGTCATTCACCATGCCATTGTCCTAAGCAGAATAAACAAAGTATTGGGTAACAACCTGCATGTGTGCATTCCTCAAAGCCTAGATTATATGTTGGTGTGCTGAACAACTGAGAGAAATCTTGTCTCACTAGCATATCAACAGTTCAAAGTTTAGAGTGCCATATTATCTGTTAACATTATAATCTATGTTCCACAGGATCATTTGACATTGAAAACAGAAAATATTTTTTCAATTTCTGGTTGATATATCCCTCTTTTTGATTTTAGTTGACATTTTTAGTAGGCCAATTCTGTGAAGCTATCATTATGTAGTAAGATATTACCTGTTTTTCAGATTTAGAATCACAAATTCTATTTTTCCATTCTTGCAAGACAGACACCAATTATGTAAATGGAAAAAATCAAAACAACCAACCTTGATGTATTGAAACACAAATATCACTTTAAATTTAATTAAAATGTTATTTTACTGCATTTAATTTATTTTACTCTCTGTGTGTGTGTACATGCCATGGCACACGGAAGGATGCCAGAGGACAATTCTCAGCAGTTGGTTCTCCTTTTTCACTGAATATGTCCTAGGATCATCAGGTCTTCTGATTTGGTGGTGAAAACATTTATTCATTTAGTTCTTTCTTCCACCTAATTCTTTCTTTCTCTCTTTTGGTGTGGGAGAATTGTCTGTATTCTGTCAATCATATTTTAATAAAACGCTGATTGGCCAGGCAGGCAGTATAGGTGGGAAAGCCAGACAGGAAGTAGGGGTGGAGCAAAGAGACTGGGAGTATTCTGGAAGCAGAAGCTCCCTCGCCAGTTCTGCCCAGACCACCGAAGAGGCAGCATGTAACTTGCCCAGCTGAGAAAGGTACTGAGTCATGTGGCTAACATAGATAAGGATAATGGGGTAACATAAGTTATAAGAGTTAATAAGTAGCCTGACCTAATGGGCCAATCAGCTTTATAACTTATAGAGATCTCTGTGTGATTGATTTTCTCTGGGACTTGCCGGTTGTGGGGTTCTGGGCGGGACAGAAACCCCAACAAGCCGGCCCCTCATGTTTCTCTCTCTCTCTCTCTCTCTCTCTGTCTTTCTAATTTATAATATTTTAATACCATTGCCTTTCTTTGGAATACTATATTTCATAATTTTTGTTTCTCAGTTTTGCTTGACAGCTTTTATACATTTATATAATGAAATTTAATATTTTCCAACCCCATTTCCATCCCCATCCTCCTCCTTCTCCCTCCCTCCTCCAGAGGATAACTAGTGCTTGTTAGGGTAGAGATGCCATTTTCTTTGTGGTGTAGCCACCGGAAACCCTTGCTACTCTTGTGCAGGAGATAACCCTGTACCACAAAGAGGACATGGAAGCAGAAAGGGACGCACTTTTAGTTTGTACAAAGCCTGACTTTTGTTCTTAACCCCTTTCCTAAGTAGATAGGTGGCCTTGTTATTATTTATCATTTCTACATTTTATATCTTCAGGGTCTATACTTACATCAGAATCCATTGGTGGGTATTTTCTTCCTTTACTCTTTCCAAGGCACTTTGTTTTTCCTTCTTCCAAGAGCTGACACCAGAAGCCTTTGTGAGAATCGAACCTAAAAGCAGAGGGAATCGCCCAGATTAAAAGCAAGTGGTTTTCAAGTCATTTACAAGCTACCACGGCCAGTGCACAAAAGTTATCAGTTCACACCCAGGGAGACGGCAACGTTTTTCATTTGACCTTTTACATCAAGTCTTCTGGCACACTTCCCAATTTTCAGCCCATCTGTCATATTGGTGAGTTTGCCAGGCTCTTGATAGAGCAGTTTCCACAAGACTTCCTATTCAGAGAAATTTATATGCCAGCAATAGGGTCCACCCTCACCCTCTGAAAAGCAACCAGGCCTTTTGTCCTCTGGAGTGTTAGGATGTGAATTCTTTAACTCCACTACATTTCTGTTTAGTGATCTTTTTAAATTTCGGTATGAGGTTAGTACTAAAGAGAAAATGCCTATAAATTGATTTTTTTTGGCTGTAATTACAGAAACAATGGTAGTAATATGCTAAATTTACATTTCTGCTTGTAACGCTGCTTCGTACATTTCCTTCTCCTTTGGGCCTTTGTTATAGCTCTTTAGGAAGTAATAGCATGGTGTTTTGGTTTGTGAATTCTTACTAAGTATAAGATAGATAATGGGGCAGGGGGCAGGTGCACATGCCTTTAATCCCAGTACTCAGGAGGCAGCACCAGGCCAGCCTGGTCTATAAAGTAAGTTACACACACACACACACACACACACACACACACACACACACGATAGATAACAATGACATGAAGAAAATACTTGTCAAGGTCTAAGTTTCTGCAGACTGTTTTCTCAGTATTCAGCGGAGTTCAAGTCTAGGCCGACTGATTCTACATTCAAGGCCCAACCTTTCTATTTTATATTTATCTGTATCTACCATGATGGGTCTATTTGTTGTAAGCAAAGCAGTGATTTCTATGCTCAGATGTAAATGTGGAAGTAACAGCAATAGTATTTCCTCCACCTTTGCTATTTGGTGGTTTGACCGCCATAGTTTCTTCTTGACTAGGTAGAATTACTTTGGGTTAATTTCCTTTGGTGTTCAGTTTGCACTACTCAAATTTCTACTCTCAAGAGTTTGCTCAAAATCAGCCTGTGGACAATTTTGGAAATGCAAATGAAAGCACGTTTAAATTATAATAAAATTTAAATAAAAACATTTAAATTATGATCTCGAAATACCTAAGAATAAAATGAACAAAACCATGCCACCACTGAAAAATACAAAAACACAGAAGGCCTAACTAAATGGGTGCTGTGCCATTCACAGAGAAGATTAAATACTTGATTGGCTGGCTCCAACATTATATATGATTTGTATGATTCCAATTAGAACTTGACTAGACTCTGCCAATTTTTTTGAAGAAATGGAAAATGACTTTGAAATAAATTTGAAAATATGAAGGATCTAGATAAACTAGAACATTTTAAAAAGTTTGAAACAAAGAGCCACACTGAAGATTTTATACTTTCAGTGCTTCCTGAATTCTGAGTAATCAATGCTGCTCACAGTCACAGTGCTGGACCAATCAATGAAGCAGAATAAAGGATGCACAAACAGAACTCCACCATACCACAGTGCTGGACCAATAGAGCAAAATAAAGGATGCACAAGAGACCTACACATCTAAGATCATTGACTTTCAACACATAGAAAAAAGCTAATTCAATGATGGAACTAAAACAAATCATACTAGAAAAAATGAATATTAACATGGAAAATAAAGAGCACTGACAGTTGCATCACACTGATGGAGAATTTAACATGGAATAAATGACTGACCTAAACCTTTAAGTTAAAACTATAAAAATTCTGGAAGAAAAAAATGTAAAAAAAATTCTTTATAGAAAAGGTCTTATTTATCTCAAACTGGTCTCAATTAGTAAATTCCTGACCCTCCTGCTTTTACCTCTAGAATACATAGTGATTGGCTTATAGGTATGCACCACCTCGCCCTTGGTTAATGCAGGGCTAAGGATCATACCCAGGGCTTTGTGCATGCTAAGTGAGAACTCTACCAACTGACATATATCCCCACCCTACATAAAACATCTTCATGCCCTTAGGTTAGGTAAATATTTTTTAAGATAAATTATAGCATGAAAATTTTGAATGTATTAAAATTTTGTTCTTCTGAAGATTCTTCAGAAAAGAAATAAGAAATTATTTGTAAAATGTGTATCTGAAAAGGAACTTATACTTAGTGTGTGAAAAATGAACGACTGATGGGGGAACTTTAACTATGGATGGGGAGGAAAGGCAATATCATGAGAGAGGAAGGGGTAAATCACATCAATATGTACAAGAAAAATCATAGGGAAATATATTACTTTATATGCTTACTTAAAATACACATAACATATGTGTGTGTGTGTATATGTATATACATTTTTAATAGAGTTATGTCACATGAGGTGAGGATGCTCTCCCAAAACCATGCAGCATCTAACAAATCCCCAGTGCCTCACATAGGAAACATCTTGAGTTGGGGGAATGCAAAAGTTTCTCAACACATAAACAATATGTGTTATTGTCATTGTGCTTAATAAGGTAAGACCCTCTTACTGAAGAAACTGTGCACTGGAAGGAATCAAGCTGGAACTGAACTGGAAGCCTCCTCCCTAAGGACCATCACAACAATGGTGGGCCCAACAATACATCCGTGATGGGGGTACCAATAGCTGTCTAGCTGGACATAAGGCCCACTAAGTGGGAAGGAATTCATGTCTGGTTCTGTAAAACTCGCCATCAGTCCTTGGCTAGCAAGGTCACAGACCCTAGAGAACAATTCACGAATACCATTTACCTAAACGAATGCAATTTCTAAGTATATTCTAAGTAGCCTCCTATCCACATATATGTGGAGTGTTCATCCTTCATCACAGAAACTTCGCTGTGTTTTAGATGGAGACTATTACAGAAAGCACAGAGAATAATGCCCATGGGATGCTCAAGCCTAGAGGCTACATCTGCAGCACAACCCATGTACCCAAAGCTCAGGGAACACAATGGAAGGGGAGAAGAAAGGCAGTAAGACCACCTGGATGCCTGTCGCTTGATAGTGTTGCCTAGACAAGGACAATGAACTCTCAACACTATGGATGCCAGAAGACCTGATGATGACAATGTCGGCTGACACCCTAACACTGACGGGAAATTTCACAGTGTCCTATTCCCAGATGAAGAGCTACAGCTGGTCAATGACTTCTAAGACAAGAAGAATCAGTTTCTGTAGTATGAGGGCTGGCTTGTTGGGGTTTCTGTCCTTCCCAGTACCCCAACAGCCGGCAAGCAACAAAGAAAAATTACACACAGGACTCCATAAGGTTATAAACTGATTGGCCCATTAGGTCAGGCTTCTTGTTAACTCTTATAACATATATTACCCCATTATCCTTATCTATGTTAGCCACATGGGCTCAATACCTTTCTCAGTGTGACAGCTTACATGTTGCCTCTTCGGTGGTCTGCGCAGGAGTGAAGGAATGGCTTCCTGCTTTCCAGGATACTCCTGTTTTCATTGCATCACCTCTACTTCCTGTCTGGTTTTCCCACCTATACTGCCTGCCTGGCCAATCAGCGTTTTATTAAAATATGATTGACAGAATACAGACAATTCCCCCGCATCAAGTTTCTTCTCGGGACAAGGTTCCTCGTAGGTTGTAGAATCCCAATGGATGCATGAATGTACAAGAAATGTTAAGTGGACTTGATAGGTGTATGTATATATGGAAGTATAGATATGTATATATGGGCAACAATAATACTTTATGAATAAGACTTTATGAATTTGGGAGATGGGAGAAGTTTGAGGAGGAGGGAGGAGAAGGAGTGTATAGATGCAATGCTTATGTATATAATTCTTAAAAAGTATATATAACTTTAAAAATTGAGGAAAATTTTGAAAATGATACAACCAGGGAATGAGTGTAAAATTTACTAAACTTCATGCATCGTCAGTAAAACACAAATTAACATTAAAAATGAAATAGCACTTATGAATTTAATGATGGAATTTAAAGTCCCAAATAAAGCAATGGTAAAGAGGTGAGGTAAACGGCACCACAGACACATTGCCTGTTTCTTTTACTTGTGACAATTTATTAGCATATGATTTGCTCGAAGGTGTTTACTGAATAAAAGTAAAACAAGTGACCCTGCAAAAATATTTGCATAAATGTTCATAGTGGCTTTCGTCCTAACAGCAAAACAAAAACAAAAATAGAGGAAAAAAATGGAAACAGCACTATGTCCGTGGATGGATGAAAGGAGCACTCTATGACGAAGGGAGACAGACGGCTTACAAGTACAAGAGCACGGAGCGTTCTCAATGCTGAACTCACGGAAGTTGCTGGTCTGACTCTCAGGGGCTGAGCACAAGGGAAATAGCTTGATTGCCCAAGAGCATCAAAAGCATAAAACACACCTCTGGAGGAAGGCACGTCCTGGAGGGAGGGGCTCCCTGGAAGGATGGGTGCCTTGGAGGAATGGGTGCCTTAGAGGGAGAGCTCCCTGTAACTAGACTGTCGTGGATATAATTTAGTCATAGTTGTTAAAATTCACTGAACCCATAACTGTTTTAATTGGGGAGTTTTATTTATGAAAAAAATCATATAGTAATAATACATCTTAAATAATAGTATTACTTAAACTATGTATATGTGAAGTCTATGTGTAGACAAGTAGTTTATAAGTATTGCCCTATGAAAATAATATAAATTAATATTTATGCATATGCCTGTCTTCAGCTATGAATCTCAATGACACGACGGCACCCCACTTCTTACACAAGCCCATTTCTTGCTGCTACTAAAGCAACCCTATGAGATCAGAACCCACGGCATGTCATTATGTTGTATATACTCTTGTTTCAGTCAGGTAGTTCAGAAATGAGTTTTCTATTCAGAGATCAAAGGCAGCATCAACCAGGCAGTCTTATTAACCTGCCTCTGCGTGGACGTCTCCAGAAGTTGTTTGCAGAGCTTCTCTAGAAGTCTGCTCGGCTGCAGTCGTTCTCACTAACATTTTC